TCAAAGCAGGGGATCCTACGCCTGATGTAGCAGGGGAGTCTAAGCTAGGCACACCTACAGTAGGCAACAAGGGCTAATAAGAAGGAAGCACACTAGAGTTATCAGTATTCATCACATGCAGGGCAGCAACAATGTCATTCATGTCCATATCAAAGATCTGAGTGCTACAATGACGCAAGCTGTGCCAGTCTGGGAGGTCGGGCGACGGGCCGAAGCGCTGACGAAACAGGTCGTCCAGGCGACGGAAACAGCGGACGGAGGTGTGACCGATCTTTCCGCAAACGAAGCCACGGCGAGGGCCGGTCTGGAGCTGGTACTGACAGCGTGCGTCACCCGAACCGCCACTCGGCAGCCCACCACGCGCATGACCACCACGTCCAGCACCACCACCAGCGCCAGGCCACCCGGGCGGGAGACCACTCGCCCACCTCTGCTGCTGCGGCTGCTGCGAGGGCTGCTGCTGCGGCTGGCGCGTGTCCGGCGGCGACACCTGCGGCTGCTGAGGCGGTTGCTTGGCTGCACCTGTCAAGGTCCTCTCGTCCGTGCCACCACTAGGTGACCCAACTCCACCACCACCTCCACCTGCACCCCCAATCCCTCCGGCGCGCCCAGCCTTGGGGCAGCAACTCTTCCCTGAACGGAACTGTGCTGCAGCTGCGGTCTCAGCCACAGCAGCAGAACCATCGGAGAAGGTGCACTGAGGGGGGGCATAACCCTGAAAGATAGGGACCGGCACAATACCGTTGGTCTGGGCGATAGAGCGGTGGCGGGTCTCTATGGCGGACAGGGTGTCAACAAAGTCAGTGAGGGTGAGGTCACCGGGGTGGACGCTAAGGAAGCGGTCGCGGGCAGTGGCAAGGCGGTCAGGGAGCCGGGTGGCCAGCAGGTAGAGCAGAGGGGCGGCTGGTGAGCGCGAAGCTGTGTGTCAGTGCAGGCAGCGCGCCAGGTCTCGTCTATCGTACGCACGTGGGCGGCCAGGTCAACGACAGTGGGAAACGACGCAAGGTCAAGGAAGAGCATGGGGAGGATCAGGCGACCTACCGAGGCAGCGGGCGGGGTGGAATAGCGCTGGACAACAGCATCTAGGAAAGCCTGGGCAGTGGTGACAGACCTAAAGCGAGGGCACTCAGACAGGGGGAGGGCATGGCTGATAGCAAGCTGTGCGACAGCATCACGCGACAGCCAGACGGAGCGAGCAAGTGCAGCGGCCGCAGCGGACTCACGCTCAGCAGGGGGTCATGGTAGGGGAGCGTACCGTCAAGGTGGACAGACAGTGAATGGCCATCCTGCCCTTGACCAGTGAGGTGGCGGCAGAGGTCGACCAGCCACGCCTCAAACTCAAGCGGCTGGCCCTCAGCGTCAAAGCGAAGCACCTCCGCCATCAGGAACGATGTAGGGCGGTGTAGAGCGGTGCAGCATGGTGCATTGCGGTGCCATGCTGTGCAGTGCGATGCTGTGCGGTGCATTGTGGTGCAGTGCGGTGCATTGCGGTGCAGTACGGTGCCGTGCGGTGAGGTGCGGTGCAGGGCGGTACAGTGCGGTGCAAAGCGGTGCAGTGCGGTGCAAAGCGGTGCAGTGTGGTGCAAAGCGGTACGGTGCAGTGCTGGTCGGGAAGAACGGGCCTGGCACGAGTCGGCTGCGGGCCGACGACGAAGCGAACGCGGGGCCGGCAGGCGGCGGACGTGAGGGGCCAACAAGGAGCGGGCACGGGGCTGACGAGGAGCGGGCGCGACGGGGCCGGCTAGGAGCGGGCGCGATGGAGCCGGCTAGGAGAGGGCTCGACGGCTCAGGAGGCCGGGCAGGGCGGTCGCGACGACGGCTAGGAACGGGCGCGAAAGCTAGGGACGGCCGCGGCGTCGGCTTGGAACGGCCGCGACGGCTAGGAACGGCCGCGAGTCAGCTAGGGATGGCCGCGACGGCGGGTAGGAACGGCCGCGACGGCGGGTAGGAACGGCCGCGACGGCTAGGAACGGCCGCGACGGCGGCTAGGAACGGCCGTGATGGCTAGGAGCGGCCGCGAGACAACTAGGAACGGCCGCGGAGGCGGCTAGGAACGGCCGCGAGATGGCTAGGAACGGCTGCGACGGCGAATAGGAATGGCTGCGACGGCGGCTAGGAAAGGCCGTGATGGCTAGGGGCGGCTGCGACGGCTAGGAACGGCCGCGACGGCGACTAGGAACGGCCACGACGGCGGGTAGGAACGGCCGCGATGGCTAGGAACGGCCGCGACAGCGACTAGGAACGGCCGCGACGGCGGGTAGGAACGGCCGCGACGGCTAGGAATGGCCGCAAGACGGCTAGAAACGACCGCGATGGCGGCTAGGAACGGCCGTGATGGCTAGGGGCGGCCGCGACGGCTAGGAACGGCCGCGAGACGGCTAGGAACGGCCGCGACGGCGACTAGAAACGGCCGCGACGGCTGCTAGGAACGGGCGAGACGGCAGCTAGGGACGGGCGCGACGGCGGCTAGGGCCTAGGGCGGAAGCTCGGGCGGGCTAGCGGGGGACCTAACCTACTATGATACCATATCGGAATTATTAAGTGACTATAATAGAAGGATATATGAGTATATAGACTAGGGTGTTGTACCCTCTAAGGCACAAACCAGTATAGTCTACAGTAACCACCTAAGTTATATTTGACAACAACCCCCCTTCTTGTATCCCTCTCTCTTCTATTCCAACTCTCTTCTCTCTCGTCATTCTCTCCCACCTAAAACCTCACGCCATTTCATGGCTCCTCTTCCTAGCTAGCTGTGTTTAACATGGTTTCAGAGCAGGTCCGTCTGCTCGGGCCTACTCATCACACTTCCGCAAATTCCGCTCCTCGCTCCTATCCTTTCTACAGCGCCGCCACGGCCATGTCGTGCTGCCATGACGGCGTCTACGCGCCAGCGTGCGGACGGCACGGACGGCAGCAGCCAGCGCCCGATTTTAGCGCTGGCCAGCATGCCCACACGCAGCCAGCACGCCACACGGGGTGGCTCGCTCCCGGGCTCCGCTGCTGAAGCCCCGCCCCCTTCCCCTGCGTCCGCTCTCCTTCGTCGCAGCCAACGGCTGACTCGCGCCGGCCGTCCCATCGTCGCAGAGCCCGGCCATGCCGCCGAGTGCTGCGAGCTCTGCCTTTGCCGCAGCTGTCGTCGAAGCCGCCGCCGCAGCTGGTGCTACTGGCCACGCCACCGCACGCCACCGCCGCCGCAACTGTCGACGCTACCGCCGTCGCCGCCGTTGCAGCCGCTGCCTCGCTGTCGACGTCGCCGCCTCACGGGCCGAGGGGTTGACCATGCTGCAGTAGCTGTCACTGCTGCTGAGTATGGGGGTGCTAGGCTTAGTGTGCTGTGTGTGTGGTGTGCTTTCGGCTACCACGCCTAGGGGGTGTGTTAAATTATATATTTAGTATTTATAATGGTAGGCTTGGTAGGTGTTACTGGATCCTACTGTAGAGGGTACAACCCCCCTTCTTGTATCCCTCTCTCTTCTAATCCAACTCTCTTCACTCTCGTCATTCTCTCCCACCTAAAACCTCACACCATTTTCATGGCTCCTCTTCCTAGCCAGCTATGTTTAACAGATGGACATACTGAAACCCATACTGGCCACGCATCCCTTTCTTGATGTGTAAATCAGGCTTATCAATGTCCCTAGTTGTTGCCCTGCAGACTCTGAGTTTACCTAGGTCTCAACTCGTCCCAAGTGTTAAGCTCTACCAACTCTAGATCGATTTTGCAAGCCACCTGAATACTTTTGCAAATAACGGTAAAGGATTTTCAATTTTTACTCCCAAATTTCACGTTCGCGGGCTGGAGCTCTTTGTAGCGAGGTCTTGTCGAATTTTTAGGCCAACAGGCTTGGCTGTGCTTACAACGGCCACCTTTCTGGGGAGCGCGGTGCCTGTGAAATTCTCCGGAATCGCAGCCCGTCGCCGTCACTGCGAGAGCTCGCCTATTACAGTATCAGTCTGCCCTGGTGGTGTCTGCCCTGTATTTTCGGTCTCTGAAAGCCTGAGCGACCGCGACTCCAACCGACCGTTCCAATAAGGGCTCATTCCGTCTCGAGTGTTAGACCCGAGTGTTTAGCGGGAAGATCCGAGGCTTGAAGAAAATGCCTCGGGTCTTGCGAAAAAACTGACGGCTCCAGCCAGTCAGCTGTCAATCCGAAGAACTAACAAAGTCGCGCAAACGAACTTTCACCAATCATAACATCGGAAGTTTCTGTTAAGCTCGAAAAGTTCGGCCAACTTAGTCGCAGCCCTCCCGTTGCGACAGTTCGCGACTATGCAGCCGCTGCACGGTCCAGAAAATTAAACCCGCAGTTAGGTTGTGACAGCCCGCGTCTCCTTCGGCCGCGGGCCGACCTCGGGTCTGACACTCGCTGCTGAATCGGCCCTAATTTTTGCAGTGAAGTGGGACAATGGGTTTCTGTCCGTTGGATCGTGAGGTTCGAAATTTGTATGGTCACCCTAATCTCCACCTTTCCTTTGGGAAGCAATCTCTGCCCTCCTCCATGATTCATGAATCCTGGGGAAGACTGGCATGTACGTTGCGCTCCGGTTTGGCTCAGTCAGAACGGGCAACAGCTTCTTCTCCTTTTAATGTTATCAGCTGATGTATTTCCCCTTTATCTCGGATAACGTAGTATCTCACCATAAGGCTAAAATTATTATAGTTCAGAATTATGTCATTCAGTACGTTGAATTGAGCTGGACCCATTCTTCTCAGAACGCGCCCCAAACAATGTTACAGTATTGTGTAGTTTTCCCCAATCGGCAAATGATCTCACGCACCGCCCGCCACCCAACTTTCGTTGGCGGGATTCAGGGAAGGGGGAGAAATTTTGCTCTGCTCAACCTGTCACGCGGTTCGGGTAAAGTCCCTTCCACGAACTTGTTGGCTCTGCAGCGGGGCAAGCCTGCCTATCCTGCCACAGGCTATGGCAACATGGACAACAGCCGTGATTACCAGGCCGTCCCCCAATCAATTCCGTTACCCGTCACTCCCAGGTTCAGCCTAGTGACCTAGGATTTTCGAATCCAACCATAGCGCTAGACTACTCGTCTCGCTTCCATTCGATTTTGAAGGAGGACATTACAGGCTCAATCACAGGGCGATTACCTTGTTGTGAGTAGGCCCGTTGAGCAGTGGAATGCTTTCAATCAAGAGCAGATTGCTGTTCCCTAGTACCGTTTTCATTTGACAAGCAGAGGTCTTCACGAGTAGCACGATCTCGCTAGTCTTTAGAGCCTTCTATAGTCTGTATCAAATCTCCTGGCCCCCACTAATCTTAGTCCCACTTAGCGCGTGCTCCTATCATGTCGGCCATCACACTATTCGGCGTCACCTTTTCCCTGGCAGCCATCATCGGAATAGGCGCGGGAATTCTCGCGGTCGTCCTCATCGTGCTCTTCCTCCTCACCTGCTGCTGCTGCTACATGTGCCGAGGCCGCAACCCGAAGCGGCGTCGATTAGACGAGGTAGCTCCAGCACCCCTGTACCCCCCAGCCATGACCGCCGCAGGACCCGGCGTGTACGCCAAGGGCATGGGCCCACGAGGCGCGCTAACACCAGGGCCGTATCCGCACAGCCTCTCGCATCATCAGATGATGAGCGGCACGGAGATGCTTCCCCCGCGCTACATCCCTCCGCCCTCGCCCGCCGCGCTCATGCAGAGCCCCATGAGACCGCTGCTCGGCGCACCGCCCTCCGCGGGGAAGCCCGGCGCGGGCGCGCAGGAGGAGGGCGTGGTGGCCAAGTGGGAGAAGGACCTGCGCGCGGGCATGTTCCGCAAGGTGGGGTTGGCGGAGGTGGAAGCGGCCACGGGGAAGTTCAGCAAGCGCGCGTTTCTCGGGGAAGGCGCGTTCGCCGCAGTGTACAAGGGGCGGAGCCCGTCCGGCGTGCCGTGGGCAGTCAAGCGGTCGAAGCGGCGACTGACGGAGGGATCAGCCGGCGCGGGCGATTTCGAGAACGAGGTGATGATGATTTCGCGACTGTCGCACAAGAACCTCGTGCGGCTACTGGGTTACTGCACGGAGGGCGGCGAGCACATCCTCGTCTACGAGTTCGCCGAGAACGCCACGCTCTCGCGCGCGCTGAGCCGCTCGCAGCCGCCGTTCCTGTCGTTCGCGCAGCGGCTGGAGATCGCGGTGGGCACGGCGGAGGGGCTGCACTACCTGCACAACGCGTCGTCGCCGCCCATCGTGCACCGCGACATCAAGCCCGACAACATCCTGCTGGACGCGCACCTGCGCGCCAAGGTCGCGGACTTCGGGCTGCTCAAAAACATCATGGAGGGCGGTGGCGCGGGCGAGGCCGTGTCGTCCGTGTACACGCGCGTGGCGGGCACGCCCGGGTACCTGGACCCCGAGTACCACTGCACGTCCAAGGTGACGGTGAAGGGCGACGTGTACAGCTTCGGCGTGGTGCTGCTGGAGCTGTTCACGGGCCAGCGCGCCATCATGATGAACAGCCGCAAACCCGGCGGCGGCGACGGCGCCAACCCCGTGCACATCTCGCAGTGGGCCGCGCCGCTAGTGGGCGCAAAGGCGCTGGACGAGCTGGCGGACCCCAAGATGGGCGGGGAGTTCGAGCCCGCCGTGTTGCTGCGCGCGCTCGAGATCGCGCTGCAGTGCGTGCGCCCGTCGTCGAAGCAGCGCCCCGACATGGGCGCGGTGGTGCGCGGACTGGCGGAGCTGCGCGAGCAGATCATGGCGCGCGACGAGCCCCCGGAGACGTTCGTGGAGGACCACGCGGTCGGGCTGGACGACGACGACTCGGACGCGGAAGGGGAAGCGGAGCAGGGACGGGCGGAGGGAAGCATGCGGGAGGGGGAGGAAGTGGGTGTGCCGTTGCAAGAAGGTTCGCAGAGACTGGCGGAAGAGAGCGACGATGAGAGAGAGGAAGGGGAGGCGGCGGACCGGTTCAGTGGCGCGGCGGACGAGGAGCAAGGGCTGGTTGCGGGGAGCTACCGCGGCAGTGACATAAGCGCCGCACCCAGGCAACTGTCGGGCCGGCGCACTGCTTCAGGCCGGAGCGGGGTGGAAGGTTCGGGAAGGAACCTCGGGAGTGGCGTGGGCGCGAGCTCGTCTGGTAGGAGGACGGAGGGGGGGGCAAGCAGCGTGAAGTACAGTGCGGGCGCGGAGACGGATGAGTCGGAGGAGGAGAGGGCCAACGGAGAGGATCCCAGCGCCGTGCAGTGTGGGGTGGAGGAGGCGGTGAATGCGAGGGCGAGCTACTACGACAGCGGGTTCGTGTACCCTGTGGGTGCGTTTGGGAACGCGTACGACAGCGGGTGGATGCCCCCGCATGGCGCCGAGGGGAGCGGCAACCGCGGGGATGAGGGCGAACGAGCAGGCAGCCACGTGGTCGTGAACATGTCGACAGCTGGCAGGCGATGATTGGGACTGGGAGTTAAGGGATCTTGTAGGGAGGGCCCTAGCTGACAAAGGGCGAGTAGTTGATGCGGCGACAGTAGCTGATAACGGGGGAGTATCTGATGAGGATGCTTGGGGGTCAAGAGGTGAAGGGTAGATAGGAGTGAGGCAACTTTGCTCCGCCCATGGGCAGCTACTGCTGCTGCCAAGGAGACTGGTGGTGAGTGTGCTGTGCTGGTGTTGTTGCAGGCGAGCTGAGGAGCGGAGATACTACGGTGTCTTGTGGCGCGGAGGGAACTCGTGCTGCTGTGTCAGCTGGCTGCCATTCTGACTTGTGTTGTTTGTGCTCTTCCAAGCAGCGACTTAGGCTGCTTTCTGTTTTGCCTTCCATTGCCCCCATCCTCTCCTCTCCCTTTCCCCAATTGCTGACCCCATCCCCTCTTCGCCTAATTCCACTGTCAAAAACTATTTATCGATTTTCATTGGTATCGATATGTATGTATCAGTCCAATCCGTTGTAAGGACGTGGAACATCTGACTCGATTGGGGGAGAACCAGCGATCTAACCACCTGTTGGAAATATCTCAAAGGACTTAAGCGTTTCTGAAGTGTAACACTACACTTGAGGAAAATTACAGGGGGGGGGGTACGCGAGTCAACGGAGGTTACACGAGGGGGCAGACAAAGAACGCGAAGGAACTCGAAAGGTCGCAACTGGAGGTTGCGCCTGACAGTTACAACATCGCAGATGGTAACCGAAGCGGCAATCGAGTCGCCTGTGCGACTCGATAACCGCTCCTGCAACTGTATTCCACAACTGCTTTCTTATTTCCTATATATTGCTGTATGCTTGTTTCTTTAATCAATCACTTGTTCTCATATACTAGTACAAGGGTTCAACTGCCTCAACTTCCGCTGCACTACTCAAGTCTCATTTTACAACTGGGACTTAGTCTCTGGAAAGATCCCAAGGGCTTTTCTCAGCCCAACACCACCCAATACCCTCAACCAGGGCCTCAGATAGGATTTTAGGCATACTGATCAATCAGGGCGGGCCCCCAAAAAAACGTGTAGCAGTCAGGGTTGGTGGCTTATGTTCAGACTGATTCCTCAGGGTGGTTCTCCGCTCTATACTTTGGCCTCAGGGTAAAATCTCAAACGCTTGACATCTCAGAAGTCACTCTAAACAGCAGCAGCAGCACACTTGGCTTCACGCGTTGTGATGGGTTGAGGCACGAGTGGCCGAGTTTGCGTCAACTGTAGCGCACGAGGTAATCAGACCAGGAAATTTTTCTTCGTCTGACTGTCAGACAGAATTTTGCTGAGACCGGATGGGCGTTCAGCTTAAAGCGAATGCAGCCCCTGAAAACTCTGATGAAGTCAAAGACAAGAAACGAAAAGTTGCGTGAAAAAAACTGCAGTTCGATTTCCATCGAGCGGTTATGACGGCGTTTGACGAGGCTGGATGGTGAGGGCGCATTCCTCGCACGTGGCACACTCTATGGCAAGTCATTCTGTTTCCCAATTCAATGTGTAGGATCATCTGAATTTGTTTCTGGTAATCTTGACCGTGGAAAAACTTATAAAGTTAGCCACGAAGTATTCTGCCAAACGTGACGAATAATCCCTGAGTTGCAGTACTTGACGAGATTTTGAATCGACGTAACCTGGGCATCACGAATTCTATGAGGACTAAGCCAGAATTTTAGGGCTGCATAGAAGTTGTAGAAGTATGTCTATGGCAGGGAGAACTTAGCCGAAAAGTTTTAGTGAGTAGGGGGTGGGGCGGGGGGAGGATTGTCTCTAACATTTAGGACTTCGCCGAAATTTTAGAGCAGGGAGGGGGTTTCCGAGGATTGTCTCTAACTTTCAGGACTTAGCCAATTTTCGGGGGTTTTCGGAGGGCTGTTGCGACGTTTGAGGACTTAGCCGAAATGTAAAATTCGAGGCAAGGGCTACCCTAGTGGCGCACGTGCATTCAAGATTCAAAGAATCAGGGTTGTCCCCGAAGGCATACTGACAGCTCAGGGCTGGTACACGAACACTTTACTGAATCCTCAGGGTTGCACTACGATTTAAAACTGAATTCACAGGGTGAAAAATGAGCTTAAACGGATTTTTCAGGTTTGGCACCTAACAGGCATCCTGAAAATCAGGAATTCAGGATAAAACATCCTGATATCTGAGGCCCTGCCCTCAACCCAGTGCAATCATTCCTTGTAGTGAGGTGATCGGCGTACGCTATGAAACCCCCAGCCCAGCCCAGTGCTCTCTAGTGGTTACTGATACACCCTTATGTACCGCTCTACTGCAAGGCAAGGAGAGCGTTTTCAAGGACTACCGTATTAGCCCGGATATAAGACCAGGGCACATGTTAACAGGGTGATTCACCTTGTTTACTCTGATTTTCAGGGTGCTCAGTGTGTGTTTGATTTTTCAGACAGGTAAAATTCTACCCTTCTGTTTTCAGTGTACACTCTTGTTTCGCCCTGTGAAATCTAGAGTGGCTTCGCTCCCCGCCCTGTGTAGAAAGGGTGACCCTAAAATTTCCCCGGACCAGCGAGTACTGTACTACAACCCCCCAACCTGTCCCCTCGATACCTGGCGGTGCTGGGCTGCCTCAAGACAGAAAACGTTGCACGTGTGTGTGAACTGTTTACAAAATTGATTGGACCAATGTTACAGTTGATGCCCAACCTTATCGCAGCTCAACCTGGCGCCCAATCAGAATCCGTTCCCAAAACCCCCGATATACGGGCAATGGGATATCCGTTTGAGTCACTCATGATTGCGTTCTGCGACCAGCATATAGCAAGGGACAAGTCGTTGCCGACGAGGTTTCGTTGCCACGGAACTGTGTCAAAAGTAACTTAGGTAGTTACTGTAGACTATACTGGTTTGTGCCTTAGAGGGTACAACACTCTAGTCTATATTGCCCTGTATCCTCCTATTCTAGTCATTCTCTCATTCTGATATGGTATCATAGTAGGTGAGGTCCCTCTAGCCCGCCCGAGCTTCCGCCCTAGGCCCTAGCCGCCCCTCGTGCCCGTTCCTAGTCGGCCCCTTGCGGCCCCGTGCTCCGTTGCGTCCGTCCCTAGCCGGCCCTCAGAGCCGTCACGCCTGCCCTAGCCGGCCCCTCGTGCCCGTCCTAGCCGGCCCCGCTCGCCGTCGCGCCCGTTCCTAGTCGGCCCCCTGAGCCGTCGCGCTCGTTCCTAGCCGGCCTCCTAAGCCGTTGCGTCCGTCCCTAGCCGGCCCTCTGAGCCGTCGCGCCTGCCCTAGCCGGCCCCTCGTGCCCGTCGTGCCCGTCCTAGCCGGCCCCGCTCGCCGTCGCGCCTGTTCCTAGTCGCCCCCCTGAGCCGTCGCGCTCGTTTCTAGCCGGCCCCCTGCGCCGTTGCGCCCGTCCTAACCGGCCCTCTGAGCCGTCGCGCCCGTTCTAGCAAGGCCCTAGCACCGCCGTACTCGCCCTAGCCGGCTCCTCTCGCCGTCGTGCTCGTCCTAGCCAGCCCCCTGAGTCGGCGCGCTTGTCCTAGCCGGCCCCTCTCGCCGTTGCGCCCGTCCTAGCCGGCCTCCTGAGCCGGTGCGCCCGTCGTAGCTGGCCCATTGAGCCGTCGTGCCCGTCCTAGCCGGCCTCTCGTGCCGTCGCACCCTCTCCTAGTCGGCCCCTCGTGCCGCCGTGCCCGCTCCTAGCCGGCCTCTCGAGCCCCCGTCGCGCCCACTCCTTACCTGCCCCTCGTGCCCGCCCCTCTTTGGCCCCGTGCCCGCTCCTTGCGGCCCCTCGTGCCTGCCCCTCGTCGGCCCCGTGCCCGCTCCTTGCCGGCCCCTCGCGTCCACCGCTCGCCGGCCCCGCGTTCGCTTCGTTGCTGGCCCGCCGCCGACTCGTGCCTGGCCCGTTCTTCCCGACCAGCACCGCACGGCAACCCCCCGGCACCGCTCTCCACCGCACTGCACCGCTTTGCACCGCATTGCACCATACTACACCGCACGGCACCCACTACACCGCGCTGCACCGCACTGCATCGCACTGTACCGCATTGCACCGCTCTTCACCGCCCTGCATCGTTCCTGATGGCGGAGGTGCTTCGCTTTGACGCTGAGGGCCAGCCGATTGAGTTTGACGCATGGCTGGTCGACCTCCGGCGCCACCTCACTGGTCAGCGGCAGGATGGCCACTCGCTGTCTGTCCACCTTGACGGTACGCTCCCCTACCCTGACCCCCCTGCTGTGCTGCCCGCTGACCCCTCGTCTGCTGAGCGTGAGTTTGCTGCGGCCGCTGCCCTTGCTCGCTCCGTCTGGCTGTCGCGTGACGCCGTCGCACAGCTTGCTATCAGCCATGCCCTCCCTCTGTCTGAGCGCCCTCACTTTAGGTCCGTCACCATTGCCCAGGCTTTCCTAGATGCTGTTGTCCAGTGCTATTTGACCCCGCCCACTGCCTCGATAGGTCGCCTGATCCTACCGATACTCCTCCATGACCTTGCGTCGTTTAATGGGAGCTGACTTGTCGCAATCAAGCATCCCAAGAAACCGCGACACTCTCGGAAAAACATATGCGATTGGCTGGAATGGGCACGTGCCCACGCAGACTGGACGGTTGACGACTAGAAGCGAGTTATCTGTGCGGATGAGACCAAGATCGGTCGTCTTGCATCCGACTGACTCTCATACGCCTGCGTTCACGAAGGGACTGCCCTCCAAAGACACCAAATCAAGCAGACCGTCAAACACGGGGGCGGTTGCTTGATAATTTACAACTGCATGTCGTAAAAGGGAGCGGGTTTCATGAGCAAAACATATGGTAGGGTGGACGGACTGCTCTCGCTGAGTATACTGCAGGACGATCTCAACAGTACGATTGAGCTTTACCAGCTTACACCCTAAAAAACTATCTTCCAGCACGACAACGACCCGAAGCACAAGTCGCGTATCGTACAGGAGTGGCTTTGAGAGTAAGATTCAGGGGTGCTAGAGTGGCCGTCTTCCTCACCCGACCTCAACCCAATGGATCATTTATGGGCTCATCTCAAGAGGCAGCTGGCCAAGCCTTATAAGCCTCCCACTGGTACGCTGGACCTTTGGGAGCGGGTGCAGGAGAAATGGGAGAAGCTCCCGGCGGATGTGTGCACCCACCTGGTGGAAAGCATGCCCAGGAGGGTGAGGGCGGTGTCTAAGGCGAAAGGGCGGTGGATTAGTTACTAGTTTGGGGTTGATGTAACTTGCTGCTTGCGCCTGGCAATAATTGTCCACATGTACCAAGATTTTTATTTTCTAGTATTTGTTGTAAACATCATTATACTTGTGTGATGTAAGGCATGGGCGTGGAGCCTTACCCCAACCTACATACACTAGGCACACCAGAAGATTAAGTCTTAATGTCCATGACCCCCTAAAATGGCAAAATTCCTCTAAGTCACAAACATGTGGACAATACTTTCCGTCGCTGTATCTTTACGAAGGCGCTTGCGCCTAAAGATCATCAGCGGCATTGTGTACAGCTTTGTCTTGTTCCTGTAGCCTCTCATTTGCTAGGGCCTTG